CAAGCCAAATAAAACTCCGTTTGAAGAAATTCTATATATTGTTGATAGTGTTACTTGATAAGATGAAACAAGATATAATGTGTAGAGCATACTGATATTCATGTCTTCATGACTATTTTATAAAATATTGTGAACTGGCTAATTTCTCTTTCCACCAAACAAAAGGAAAATAAAAATAGATATTTGTACTAGAAATGTTTTCATGTCAAGGCTAGGTATATGGTAGACATTCACTAAACACTTACGGATTATGAAGGGGTCACCTGAAGTCACAAAGACATAGGATTTTGCAATTGAGACATCACAAGCTACTTAAAAAAAAAAGTTGGCTGGGCATGGTGGCTTATGCCTGTAATCTCAGCACTTTGGGAGGCCTAGTGAACTTCTGATCACTAGGTCAGAAGTTCGAGACCAGCCTGGCCAATATGGTGAAACCCTGTCTCTACTAAAAATACAAAAAAAACTAGCTGGGTGTGGTGGCTCATGCCTGTAGTCCCAGCCACTCAGGAGGCTGAGGCAGGAGAATAGCTTGAACCCAGAAGGTGGAGGTTGCAGTGAGTCAAGATTGTGCCACTGCACTCCATCCTGGGCATTTGACTTTTGATTAAACTCATTTGTCTGTGGTAGACCATATGAAAATCTAAAATTTTTTGATAAGTCAAGGAAACTAACCTTCCCCAAACCTCAACACTCAGACATCACTGTTGACATAAGCATAATGGGGTTTCCAGAGTTGAGATCACACGTTTACCAACATTTGATTTTTGCCCTTTATTTTAAAACTATACCCTCATCATTCATTAAATGAAAATTTTAGTTCCTCATGAAGGAAATTTTTCTTAGATATTGTTTTTCATAAGGAATGCCTGTTAAATAAAATTTAGTAGAAATGATGAAGAAATCTCTTACCAGTAACTTCCCTGAATTATTTACTATCTAGATACTGTAACCCTGGGAACCGAATATTCTAGTTACCAAGGACTCATTTTTGTTTTGTTTTATTTTTGAGACAGAGTTTCACTTGTTGCCCAGGCTAGAGTGCAAAGGCCTGATCTCAGCTCACCTCTGCCCTGGGGGTTCAAGTGATTCTCATGCCTCAGCCTCCCGAGTAGTTGGGATTACAAGCCTCCGCCACCAGGCCCAGCTAATTTTTGTATTTTTAGTAGAGATGGGGTTTTGCCATGTTGACCAGGCTGGTCTTGAACTCCTGACCTGAAGTGATCCATCCGCCTTGGCCTCCCCAAAACAAAGGACTCATTTTAACCACAATTAGTCTGTTAGTGCTGACCAAACCCAAAAACCAAACCAGAGCAATTAAGATAAATCAAAACATAAACATCTATTATCTGAAGTCTAGGTTTTCTTCAAGGAAACAACGCTGGTCAAATAGGTTTAATAAAAAATGAACATTTCCCGCCCCTCGCCACCACAAGAGGTCCTGTAAAGAAAGAAATCAAATAAATAAAACACCATAAGATAAAAAACCAAATAAACAAGAAAACACTAAAGTGACCTCAGGTAGTAATAGTTACTTCTCTAGATTTCTAATTTCTACCTCATGTTTTTGGGAAATTCACAATTGGTGTTCCTCAGAAAGGTAGGACAACACTTCCATAAATTTTTTAGTTATGCAAATTCCTCAACCCCACCCCTAGAGATGGAGACATGGGGAGGGCTGCAGCAAGGTACATTAGAAGTATAGCAATTGTTTTTCCAAATCATCACTGTTCCAGATCCATTTCATTCAAAGCCTTCCCTCATGTGATTTTCAAGAAAGTTAAACCAAGCATCCTTTACTGCAAGATCCAGGTGAGACAGGAAAAAAGGTCAAGAAATGCCAACGTCTGGAATAGACATTTTTGTTTTTTTAACATGATTGACCCTCATTGAAAACTTGAGATTACTTTCAAGAGGGAAGGTATTTCAAACATACTCAAGGCTTTTCCAAAACAGTTCTGAATCAAATTTAAACACAAGTACCTAAAATTCTGAAAAGAGGCATGCAACAATAACTTTTAGCCTAAATGAACATGAGTTACACCCCAGGTATGTGCAGGCTTCACGTACAAACTCTCTTCTGATACTTCCAAACGGGTATCAGCTTGAAAATTATTAAAGAGTATATTACTAAGAAGAAATCACAATTGCTAGCTCACAGAATCTAACAGTTACTATTAATAAATGTCTCCATCACTGACACCAATAATCTGGGGGAAGCAAAACAATGTAGTTGGGGTAAATAGGAGCAGAGTCTAAGATCTCTTTGCCTAAACATACCTACTCTGAAGGCAGTAAGTGTGAGTGGTTTCTGAAGTATTTAGCCAAGTGCCTTGTGGATGGGAGTTGAATAAATGGTAGGTGTCATTCTTCTTCTTCTTTTTTTTTTTTTAAAGTGTTCATTTCTTCCTCATCACATTTACAATCAATTATTCCATTCCTCTCTGAAATAGATCCCAGTTGGCCCTAACGTACTAACAGACTACCTCAGAAACAGAATTGTTCTCAATGACCAATGATGCCAATTTAGCCCATTAGGATGAAAACGTAAGATGTATTCAACATTTACAAATAACAAATTACAAATATACAACATTTAAAAAAATAACAGGCTGGGCGCGGTGGCTAACACCTGTAATCCTAGCACTTTGGGAAGCCGAGGTTGGTGGATCACCTTAAGTCAGGAGTTCGAGACAAACCTGACCAATATTGTGAAACCCCGTCTCTACTAAAAATACAAAATTACCGGGCATGGCGGCGCATGCCTGTAATCCCAGCTACTCAAGAGGCTGAGGCAAGAGAATCGCTTGAACTCAGGAGGTGGAGGTTGCAGTGGGCCAAGATCAAGCCACTGCACTCCAGCCAGGGCAACAAGAGCAAAACTCCGTCTCAAAAAACAAACTAACAAATAACAATCAAATTAATGTAACTTTCGATCAATGACTTTGGATTGTTACTTTGAGGATTGATTATCAGGGCCTGTGGGCCCCAGGCTGTAGTGCTTTTTTTAAAGTTCCTGTCACTCTTGTACACCTTTGTCACTGGTAGAAGAGGAAGGTGCCACCATGCTCTGACAACTGGGAGGACTAAACTGTGCTCCAGAAATCCTAATCAACTTTCTGTTTGTAGTAGCTGGATATTGTGACAACTAACATAGACCACTCAAAGGTCTTCTGGCTCCGTGGAGGGGGTTCTCAGCAGTTCGGTTATACTGAGGTTGCCAGACCCTGGAGAACAGAATCCCAGCCCCACTCCCTTCCCCAGGAATGGACTAAAATTTGTCACACAATAGGTGCTTGGAAAAAAGTATATGAAAGACAATTCACTACTAAGGATCTTTTCAACACATGAGGGCTGCTAAAATGAGAATCCCACTAAGAAAATACTGATTAAGAGGAAGATAAAAATACTGAGAGTCAATAACAATCAAAGGAACAAAAGGATCGGGGACACATTGCAGACACACTTCTGTTTCCGAAGCCCACCCGGCACCAAACAGGTCAGGGCATCCAAGGCGGGCGAGGACCCGCCCTCCCTTGCTTCCCGCGTGTGGGGAGGAGTAATCGCAGGGTAGGCGCTGGCGAGGGGTCTTCTACCGTTCGGGCAGTATCAATTTCCTCCACTCACTTTTCTGACGCTGCATTTAACAAATATTTCTGGAATGGCTACATTAGACACTGCGTGTTAGGCTCTGGGTTTCCCAGTCTAGAAGGTTTTAGGCTTGCAATAACTTTCAAACATGGGAAGTCTGTTTTGCCTTGGGCATTTTTAAGAGGACAAAACATCGATCGGGATACCGATAGGTCGACGAGCAGGCAGCAGGGCGCGGCTGCACCCAGGAGGAACCCTGGCTCCAGCAAAACCCACCGACTGAGGATGAATCACTGACGGGCAGGGCAGCCGAGGCCCCCGGGCCCAACCTTGGGGACTGAGTCATTCCAAAGCCACTGCTGCCGGAAACACGCCCTGAGCCACAGGAGTCCCGTGGGCGCGGCCCAGACCTCACTTCCTCGCGGTCACCTGGGGCCCTCTGGCCTCCTGGCCAGACCTGCACGTGCCAGGGGGTCTCCAGCCGCAATCCGCCTCCTTAGTGCGGATACAGCACGCGTCACCTTTGGGGCCGGGAATGGGTGGAAGCAGCCGGGGGTCTCCGGCCTAGACCAGCTCCCAAGGGAGATCACTACCCCCGCTGCGGGTGGATCACTTCGCATACGGAAAGGCAGCGGCGGCCAGCGACCCGTGCCTTCTGCAAGGGGCCCTCTCTATCCCTGCCTAGGGCCTGAATCTGGATACCGAAGGGGGCCAAGGGCGGACCCCTTCTATTCCCTCACCTTCCTCCAGTCGGGGCTGCCAGGACGGGAGGGTGCAGGAAGGGCAGCATGGGGGCTCCTCACGCTGTCCGCGCTCTCACATCTCCCGGGCGCTCCCCGCGTGCGTGCAACCCCCCCGGGGCACAGGGTGCGGGCAACGCTGGATACCGCCACTCCGCCCTCCAGGGGACCCTGGTCCCTCTCTTCTCTTCCGCCAGGGCAGGCTCCACCGCCTTGGGCGCGCCCAGGCCGCTGCTTCCCTCAGTCCCAGGCCGAGACGCCGCGTCCCTTTCCCCCGGCGATGCAGAGGGGCGGCCTCCGCATCTCCCGCCACCGCCTTCCCCAGCTACAGAGGCCGCCCGCGGCGCCGGCGCCCTGGCCTTCCCCGGGAGCGCGTACCTTGCTCTCGATCTGCTTCACCATCTTTGCTGCTGGGGTCTGAGGAGCAGCTGCAAGGACCGATGGAAACGGATCCAAAGTACCAGACCGAGCTTGAAGAGTCGCCGCTTGCTCTCCCTTTATAAACGGGCACGCCCGGCGTGCGTGTGGCGGGGGCGCGCGCGCCCGCCCGGACCTCCGTGCCCGTCGCTGCGCCCCGGCCACGCCCCGCCCCTGGAGCCTGCGAGCCGGGATCGGGGCGGGGCTGGCGCAAGCGTGGGGCGGAGCTCCAGGGCCTCGGCTCCTGCGCCTCCAAGCCCAGCTCGCGCCCCAGCTGAAAGTGGGGATCAGCGCTGCGCGTGACGGTGGGAGGCGAGGAGACGGACAGTCACCCCCAGAGACACAAGGTCCTTTCCAGGTCACCTGGGGATGCGTCCGCCGCTCCTAAATCGAACGCGCCCACGCTTGAGATGGGGACAGTCCTGGGACCGCCCAGGCAGGGCTGGATTCCTCGAAAAGTCCCGCCACGCCCCGGCCACCCCCAGCCCCGTGAACCTCACAAAGTGCTGAGTAACGGTGACCAGGAAGTTTCTCGGTGTGTACGTCCTTGCTTCCTCTCCAGAATTTACCGTGACCGTTTTCTTCTCTAACTTCCTTCTGTTCTTTCATTTTCACTGCTGAACCCGTTGCTCCAGCTTGACACAGCGGTTTAGTGAGGTAGAAACGACCGGGGGACTGGTTGGGCTCTTGACCATCAGACAGCTGCGTGTGAGATGGAAGTGCCGCCGGATTGAGCTCTGCAACTTAGTTACGCAGTTGTGACCCTAGAAAGGTCCTGACCTCGTAAAGTCTCAGTGTTCCTTCTGTAGAACGCGAATCATGATGGTCTCAATCTCACGGTGGTGTTATTTTGAGGGTTAATAGTGCTTGCAAAGTGATCAGGACCGTGCTTGGCACATAGTAAACACTCCATAGATAGTTCTTATTCGGTGTCTTGCGAGGACTGATTGGGTCTGGCCACCTTATACAGCATTTACAGTGGGACAGCACGCAAATTTGTGTGAGTTTTTTCTAACGGAGGCAGACTCCTGGAACAGAAGTCGGAGTTTGCATTGATCCAGGAATGCCTGTTGCAGGTTATGTCTGGCAGGGCTGGGGATTGTGGAAGGTGGGTATGTTAGCTGACCTTGTGGAGCCAGGAAGGCCTGTCAGCGGCTGAAAGTGGAGGTTGAAAAGCTGCTCACAGGAACGAGAGCTGGAAGGCTGGGAGGGCGAGTCCCAGGTCTGTATTTTCAGAGCTGAGCTGTTCCCAATGAAGCTGCAACTAGGTGTAATTGCCTAGGGGTGGTGAAATTGCTACCTGGCTGCCCCCTAGAACCCCTGGCTTCCTTCTTTTGCTCTTTCATACAGAGGAAGGGAGGAAACCAGAGGTTTTGAACCTATTGTGCAAAGTTTCTAGGGGGCTGAGGAGCATGGAGCATGAATATGGATATAGGCAAGGGACACAGACAGCTCTAGAGGGAGGGAAGACAGACTGCCCTGAATGCAGCAACGTTCCCAAAGAGAGGGAGGTTATTGGGGCAGAGAGGAAGGAGCTATATGGAGCACCCATAGCAGAATCTATAACCTGCTTTTCTGCTGCTGGGTTTTCCGTTCAGCTGCATCCTAGCTTCCTGGCCTTTATCTGTTTGTTGGTGAATTTGCATAGGTGATGACAACAAATCATTGAGTTACAGGAAGGGGCAATGCAGGCCATCCTCAATGTTCAGTGACTCAGTGAAGGAGGTACTCCCTCTCCCTAACCTCCACAGAACCAACGCAGAGTAGATGTGGAGGATGGTACAGTTATAAGGAACTGGGAGGCCAGAGTATGTGTTAAGAGTCTGGACTCTGCAATTTGACTCCCTTGTCCTCATCCCTTCGTGACTGGGTAACTCTAGGCAAGTCTAAATAGCCTTTTGGTGCCTCAGTTTCCTTATCTGAGAAGGGGGCATAATAATAGCTTGTGCTATTATAAGGGTTGAGTGAACTAAAATATATGTAAAATGCTTAGAACTGTGCCTGGTGTGTAGTGAATGCTACATGAACTGTGATTATAGGCTATTAAATGAATGATGAGATCCATCTGGAATGATGGCAGAGCTAGGGTGGAAAGAGAGACAATAACGGGTGTCAGTCTTAAACGAATTAAGTAATGAAGACAGTAGTAATGAACAGTGAGCTCTGTAACATGAGCCTCAAAGGAAAAGGGCTTTTTTTCCCTGCAAGGAAGAGAGAGAAGTGGGCTGGATCTGGTCCCAAGGAGCAGGTTCCCTGCAGTTGTGGCAAGGAGGTGACGTTCTTTGAGAAGAGTGAGGTACAGGGGAATTATTTGGGACTGCCCAGAGAGGAAGGGTTCATTTGTGCAGAGAAATGTAGAGGCTCTGTGTATTGGTCAGAATTTTCAGTTGCAAGGAGAAATTCTAGCTCAAACTGACGTAAAGCAAAAAGAGAATTAGTAACTTATTACCAAGAACCCTAGGGGCCTAACAGTGTCACAGGGCACTATCTTTCTAGTTTCATTCTCAAGTAGGCACTCTATGTAAGAGTGAAGTAGGCAGCTCCAGACTTAGGTTCCTAGTAGTTTAGTATCTCTGCAGGAAGAGTGTTCCTCTTCCTTGTTCTTGTAAATGTCTGAGAGGCTGACCTTCACTTTCATGGTGGGGAAAGGGATTAGCCTTGATTGAAAGTTTGGACTAAGAGTAGGGAAAATCCAGGTGGTTACCAGAAAAAGAAGAGATTGCTGCCGGACCAGCAAAAATGATGTTTTCATGTCACCCAAAAGGGCAGAAACATGTAACAAGGGTGATGGACTGACTTCAGACCTGGGTCAGCTGAGTCCAGCCTCCACATGGGACTGGAGAACTAGGTCAGCTGTCTTTGTTTGGGTCTCAACTCAAATTTGAAGAAAATGCAGTTGTAGGATTTCTGAAACAAGTTTTCCTCACATCCCAGGTGTCTCTGAGTGGTCTTAACCCCCTAATTCATCATAGCCAGAGGTGCTCAATGATACTGCACATTCCTGGACCACACCCAGCCAGACACACAGAATCAGGTTTTTAAGGTAGGGCCTTGTAATCTGCATTTTTATTTATTTATTTTCTTTTTCTTTTTATGTTCTAGGGTACATGTGCACAACGTGCAGGTTTGTTACATGTGTATACATGTGCCATGTTGGTGTGCTGCACCCATTAATACTCGTCATTTACATTAGGTATATCTCCTAATGCTATCCCTCCCACCTCCCCCCACCCCACAACAGGCCCTGGTGTGTGATGTTCCCCTTCCTGTGTCCAAGTAATCTCATTGTTCAGTTCCCACCTATAAGTGAGAACATGCGGTGTTTGGTTTTCTGTTCTTGCGATAGTTTGCTGAGAATGATGGTTTCCAACTGCATCCATGTCCCTACAAAGGACACGAACTCATCCTTTTTTATGGCTGCATAGTATTCCATGGTGTATATGTGCCACATTTTCTTAATCCAGTCTGTCATTGAAGGACATGTGGGTTGGTTCCAGGTCTTTGCTATTGTGAATAGTGCCACAATAAACATACGTGTGCATGTGTCTTTATAGCAGCATGGTAATCTGCATTTTTAATAGCATCTCAGGTGATTGGGTACACTAAGATTTGATGAGCTTTGCCATGGGATCTTCAGAGGGAGGCCAGCATTAGTTAAGCTTCAAGACTGTGTCTAGCAAGAGAGTTGAGATGGGGACTCAAAAGAGAATGTGTTAAGTGACATAAAATCAGGAGCTCTAAGTACTACAGTAAAAAAAAAAAAAGGTGGTAGAAGGAAAAGGAACAAATTAACCTGGGTGGGACAATCATTAAATGCCAAGCCTAGAGCTGGGTGTGTCGTATCATTCCTCTCAATATCCCTTAGGAGATAGACATTATTTTTCCTATTTTACAGAGAAGGAAATTGAGATTCAAAGAGGTCACCTAGTCATATCCAGTAATCACTAATTCTTATACTCTGTCCAAGAAGGGGAAGTATCAGCACAGTTTTCAAGCCTATCTGCATGTATTAAGTGCCCCTCGTTTCACGGGTGAAAAATATCTAACATCCCTTATGCTAATGTGCTGTATGTTACATCCAATGTTAACTATTTAGATCGTAAAAATTAATTTACACATAAATATGTATCACATTTTCATTGCCAAGTATTTTAATGTAAATTTCAGATAATATAATAACCCCTGTGAATAACCTACCCTGCTCCTTATAGCCCTTAATCTGCTCCAGTGGTCACCCTCACTGCCCCCTTGAGCCCTTTCCTCATGTAGCATGGAACCATCTGGATTCAGCAAGCACCACTGTATTCCCAGATATTTCTTCTAACCGCAAGTTTTGCCCCCTCAGTGTATATCATTGTATGACATACGATGCTCCATGTATGTCACGGCCAGGCAGTAAGGCAAGTGCTTCCTATTGCTGCGTCCAGATTCTTTCTCCTTCCAAAATCCCACGGATTTTTAGAAGGAAAAAAAAAATTTGTTTTCAAAAGAGAAAGGAACTTGACCTTTACACCATACCATAAAATTACTTAAAATTTACCAAGGAACTACTGGAAGAAGACATTAGAGATAATCTTTGCAACCTTGTGGTAGGCAAATATTTCTTAGGCAGAACACAGAAATCATTAGCTATAAATGAAAAAGTTAATAAATTTGGCTTCTCACACACACACACACACACACAAATATGCGAGGTGATGCATATGTTAATTAGCTTGATTTAGTGATTCCACATTGTATACATATATCAAAATATGTTGTACACCATCACTATGTACACGTTTCACTTGTCAATTAAAAAATAATTTTTAAAAATGGGGGAAGCTAGTAGTCTTGCATCTCCTGTGAAGGGATATATGCTCTAGTAGGTGGATTTTACTTTATATTAAGTATTGTTACAAGTAGTTAGATAGGCATGAGTGAGGCAGGAGAGGGCTCTCCACCCACCCACTAGGAATGTCAGGTGATGGTTGGACAATTATCTCACCGCCTCTGTACAAATGATAATGTGGTAGCCTACCCAGAGCACCAGGGAGGTGATCCACAGCTGTTAACATTAAAGTGTTAAATGAATCCAGATGCCAGGGAGAAGAAACTGCCTGGGCATGTACACTAAGAGACAAAATGGCAAAATATGACATTCCAGGCAGACTCCTCTGGAAAAAGGGAAGAAAGTCTCAGATGGGCATGCATATGACTTCCTAAAAACACAGTGCGTGCTCAATTCCCAAGGGTAAGGGGGCAGACACTACGCAGGCAGGCAGCCTACCCTGAGGGAAGAATCATGGGAAAGAGGCAAGCCTATAAAGTCCTGAGATCAAGTCGGATTCTTCTGAGGTGGCAAGGACGAAGTTGCTGCAGATGTGTACAGATTCGCTGCTGATAACTCAGGGTAACTTGGATCTCTTCCACTGGTAACAGAATCATCTAAAGAAAATAAAAATAAATAGAATAAATTATAAAAACTAAAAATCTCTGCTCTTTGAAAACCATTGCTTAAAAATAAATGAAAATGAATAAATAAATGTCTCCCAG